AACTCGTTCGCGTTTTGGCTCCGCGTTCATGAAATTCCAACACCAACAACAGAAAAAAAAAGCTTCGATCGGGCGTATGGAATTCGTTTCTCTCTAGTACTTAGGATAGAAGAGGAAGGGGAATCCATCAAGGTTTTTGGCTCGCAATAAAGCTAGGGTCCTGATCGAGCAACTAGCAGTCCTATCTATCCACCTCTCCAGACACAATATCTTGAGTACCTATGATGGTGACCACATCTGCTGGCATGTGATGTTTGGACATAGAATCGAGTCCTTGTGAATGGGCAGAGCCAGGTGCTCTTATTTTACGACGGTAGGGACGATTGCTTCCATTACTGACCAGAAAGACACCAAATTCTCCTTTAGGTGCTTCAACTGAGGTATAGGTAGAAGGAGCTGGTACGGAAAAACCTTCTGTATAAAGTTCGAAATGGTGAATTGAGGTAGAGTAGACCGATGATCCTGTAGTCATTTGGCCGGCTATTGAAAGAAAAAGCTTGCATCTGCTCTCCCTATTCGTTAATCTAATAGGTTCGATCTCTCTCCAAACCTAACGTGATAGTTTCCCATCATAGGGCTTTCTATCTATAGATTGAGCCATTACCAAGGAGCTAATTCGTTCAGAACTCAGTTGACTGCTTATATAGATAAGGCGGAGCGTCCTTGGCTCAACATTATAGCACATAGGGCTTCGGCGCTACTACGGCGCTTCGAGTTAGCGAAGCGCTGTAGTAGCGCCTCGCTATGAGAATCTAGCTTCGCTAACGCTCGGCTAAGTCTTGAACCTTCGCGCGTTCGCTTTCTCAGTAGCAAAAGTGCTTCTCTTTGCCCCTTAAGTAGAAGGACAAGAAAGGTATTTTTTGTTTAATTGCTCCCGCTTCCTCGCATCTGCGCTCGTCAAGCCAACTTTGCTTTTTGGGAGGTTAAACTGCGCTGCGGTTGAAGCGGACATTTCGAAATGACAGCATCGAAGATTTATATATTATTATACGGTCACGGTTATCCCGGACTGCGTTCCGGAAAAAGTGGCCTACTTGAAATGAAAGAAAGGGCGAGCACTCTTGTGTTTCAACCCCACTATCACTATACTTTTAATTGTTGTGGGGCACTGTGTACTTACAGCCTCTACGATAAGCAAGTGAATGGGGCCGGTGCATGGCGAACGGAACGGTTCATCAAGCCATTTCTCGCCTCAACCCCCTAAACTAAATAGGAAGAGGGGTACTTTACAAAAAGGGGTAATTGCTTCGCACCTGACTGTGATAGCCCTCTCGATCAATACCTTATTGGAGCTTTGTTAGTAGTGGCCGCTTTGCCATCGCTAGAGCCTTTTCCCAGTGCGCGGAGACCCAACGAGGAGGGTGTTAGTGGTTTATCATTGGGTCAATAATGCTAATCCCTCTTTTTGTGCTACTCCTAGGGCGGGAAGAAGATAAGAAAACGCGAAGCGTTCTATTGGTTTCCCAACTTGTTGCTTCTAAAGGCTGCCCTCTCTCGGCTAGATGTTGGTCCAGCCTACTACGAGGATCTCGTATCCAGCAACCCAATCTAAAAAAAGGTAAAAAAAAAAAAAAGGCCTTGTCTAGGTTGGAGCTATGAAGCTTACCTTATTATGATGTATGAAAAGGCCTTTCCTTCACGGGCTTACTTAGTGCTTGTGCTAAGGAGCAAGAAAACGGATGCGCTAAGGTTGACGCTCGACCCAAACAAGCAACGGCGTTCGAGCCCCTATCAGAGAAAGCCTTGGTAAAGCGCGCTTGACTTGGAGGTTCGCGCATCCTCTTGCTGGGAGAGGGGCTAATGCCACTCGACTTGTTGGAGAGGGGTGAAGTTAGAGTCAGGGGAATGGGCTTTTTCAGCTGGTGCGCTAACGCGCACTTCCGTTTTCCCTTTACTAGTAGGGGGTCCCGTGGTTCCTATGCCGTCGCGTTTCCCGGTCCTTTTCTTTTAGTGCTTCGACCCGAAGCGATAGCTTCTAGCTAGTTCAGTGGATAAGATGGCTGCGCTCCAGCTCACTCAAGAATGGGACGGCAGTGGTCCGCTGGCAAGCTCGTTCTGATCTTGGGCGCAGTACATTGGAATCCTGAAGCACCACCACGAACGCTACCGCGCGTTCGCCTGTGGTGCGGTAAGGCACCACCCTGTTGTGCCAGCAGCCAACTCCGGCGTGTCAGCTTAGTTATCCTCATCAAGCCACTTACTTGATGTCTAGCTTGCCAACTGGTAGACGGTTCCTTTTCCCCCAGATCAATGAAGAAGGGAGAAGTCAGTTGATTCTTCCGAAGAACCGGAAGCGAAGCGCTATGCCGGGGCGGGGGGACGGGAAAAGAAACAGCTCCGAAGAAAGAAATGGAGATTCCCAATGCTTCTCCACGCCCAACGAGATGCGCCAACCTCGGGATGCTTTACTCCTAACCCCACTAGGTTCCGAGACGGAGCTTAACCTGAGTCTCGGTTAAGAACGGCGATGATCTACGTTTCACACGGCGCATGATTCCATGGATAGTTTCATTCGACATCGTGATGGAGGACATAACTTACGATCATCGGCTTTGATCATGCCACTAGGCATTTTATTAGGACATTGGAAAATTATCCGCAGACTTTGTCGCATCTCTTCAATACGGATACAGTAACGATCATAGCGATCTCCTCTGGTACCTACTGGTACGTCAGGATCCGATTGGTCATGAACATCGTAAGGTGCTGCTCTTCGCGAATCCCAGCATACCCCTAGTTGGGATGGGTAGGCCCACCACTTCACTTTCACTTAGGCCTGGGCCAAGTCAGTGGGGGGACCCTGTTGGGCTCCTTCCCCCCCAAAAAAGACAAACTGTACGTGAGAGTTTCCCTTCATACGGCTCGAATCATTCTCAGATGCCCCGAGAGGCATCCTTTCCTTGTTTGTTGGGTTGCGTGCAAACAAGCACTGGCCGCAACAGCAGGGAACTATGACCAGTCAGACACTTAGCTAAATCCGCACGCAAAAGGAATGTGGTTCTGGTTGAGGCTTTCTTTCCTTTATTAGTCTTGGGGGTGCGGGACATTCGCGGAGTCCGTGCCTTCCGTACCACCACAGGACTGGTCGTTCTTGGGCGGATCCCGCTCCTAAACATAAGGGATAGGGGGGGCAAAAGGGTTGTAAAAAGAGAACCCGGCTACCTATTTCATTCGACGTTCCGCCCGATTCGACCGACTTTTTGATAACAAGAAGGCGGCGAGCTGATCTGCTTTGATCAAGGAAAAAGCCCAGTCAGCCACCAACTCGGTGCAGGTCACGTGACCTACAGCTCGGCCTTCGCTTTTTGAGACTTCCTCTACCCACATCTCTATGTGCCCGCAGCACTTCCATATGGAGAAAGATAGGCTTACCATGTTCCATCAATAGCACCTAACCTATGCCAATTTTGGCGGACTGTGCTCCACCCCGGTGAACTTATGCGGTTCCGACGTGCCCCGAGGCCAGAGGAGAATCCATTCACGGTCCGTAGGACCAACACCATTCGAAGGTGGGTGGCCCGCCCCGCCTAGAACAGTCATGTTTGACTGGGCTTACACACATTCGCTCACTTACGCTGTCCCCCCTCAGCTCACCCTAGCCCCGGGCCTTTTGCTCTTCTAACGTAAGCTCCAAGGCTTCACACCAAGTCTTCACTGACAGAATATGCATGCTTAAGTAGGGTCAGGCAGAACCGTTGTTGCCTGATGGGAACTCCCCCCATATTGCTATCAATGTCTTCATGTCGCACGACCTCTTAACATTACACCACTGAATCCCCAATCCTTTGCTTGCTGTGCAGTGACAGTACCAATATCCACTAATCGTTGTTTCCAGATACGGTTGCCGGTTGACATCTCTTCTAATTCGTCGATACGAGAAGCAAATTGTTGTGTGAAGGAATCAATATCTCGACATAAGCCAAGAGGCAGATCTTGTGCCACTCCACCTGGTCGTATGAAACTGGCATGCATCCTGGCTCCCGAGACTCTTTCATAGAATTCCAACAATTTCTCCCGCTCCTCAAAAGCCCACGGGGACGGAGTTGATGCTCCCACATCCATAGCATGAGTAGTTAAAGCAAGTGAATGATTTGAAATTCTAGTTATTTCACGGAATAACACTCGTATATATTGAGCTCGTAATGGTACCTCGCAATTCAAAAGTCTCTCTACGGCTGAAGAATGAGCGTGTTCTTGGGCCATCGTAGAAACATAGATAGGGTCGACGACGGAACGAAGAACTCACCCTAGATACAGCTTTTTCGTACACGTTCACTTGCATCACATACACAAGTGCTCTCTGAACCGTGCAATAAGGTCACCCATAACACGACTCTCCCACTTGAGTGACATTAGCCCCAGGCAGGCCATGCTATTCAATGATATTGGAAAAATGGCAGCGTAACGTAACAGTATTGAAAGCTGGTCGCCTTTTGAGGGAGGGAAAGCCTTTCAATAGGAGCCCTACTTCCCTCTTTGCGACCTCATCACTTCAAAGCGCAAACCCATTTCTTTCTGAGTCACCGGGCGGAGCGCACCTTTGGTACTTTGCTTATAGCTTTTTTAGGTTATGCAATAGACGGGAGGCTTAGCTCAGGATCCCCCCTGCTTGCAGAAATGAATGGATCAGAGGGGGGGCTGGGTTCTATTTCCGGGCCGGGCGGGAGGTGAAGGCCATAAGATAAGATTGCCCTCCCGGTAAGGAAGAGAGGAAAAGGGTGCTGTCATCTATCTCGACCAGTTTCCCGAGGCGTTGAAAATCCAGACCGGCTCAGAGAATCACTGGCGCTATTTAGCCCTTCGTTTCGCCATTCGAAGTACTACCTCTGCCTTCCCTTTTTGTAACATACCCAGGCGCCCTCCTTTCCAATCACTAAGAAAAAAAACCAATCAAAGCCCTATCTAAGTAAAGCTTCGTCTGTTATTTTCCCGGCCCCAGGGGAGTTTACTCAACCCATTCCCCAGTCTTCCGCACTGCTCAAGTAAGTGTGCGACTTCGTATGAGGACCTCCTTCCCTTCTGCCCACTCTCTGTTCACACGGTTCTCAAAGCAGAGGAGGAAAGGTGGGCAGCAGGTACCACGAGCCCTCTGTCCCACACATCTATCCAGAAGCAAGTGTAGTTCATCGGTTCCATCGAATGCTCCTATCTATCGGCAAAGATCGTGTGAGTGTGCAGTTATGCTTCAGATGCTTCGCCATAGAATAGATCGACCCAGTTCCTGTTCTTTTCCGGTGCACTCGCTTTATATCTCCGACACACAAGGAAGGACGCGGTGGGAAGGAAGCAGCCCTAGCCTCTGTCCGGCCGATCATTCCGCTGGCATCTTGCATTCACGCCTCCGTTTGACTGCCGCTCGGGGATGGAGTTGTAGATACGTTAGTCTTAGCGGATCGTTGGCTCCACCTGTTATCTCCTTCTACGACATGCTGTTGTCGTCACCATATTCAATATGTCACTTAGTCATCTCTGCCTCGCTGCGGGTCAGCACCTCCGAAAGAAACGGAGGACTCCATTCAGTGACTCCGCGATCGCCCTCTAAACGATCAGAATAAGGTAAAGCTTGAAGATAAGTTTTGTACTCTATTAATTTCTCAGTCCCTCTAGTCGGGTGGGCGCCGGCCGGTCTTTCGACCAGATCCCCCTAAAAACCATACGTGCGGGTCTCCCCGCATGCGGCTCACGCCATTCGAGGTGGCCCAGCCCAGCATTCATTCGCAAATCCTGTAGTGAAATTGAGACTGCTCGACCTCGGAAGCTAATTCGCGTGTAGGCTGCGCTGTCTGTCGTACCGTTGACTCTATCTATTCATTGAATTTACTTTCATTCATTTTTTTGATAGGCTTGCTCCCTCTTTTTCCAAGAATTAATGCACTTCCCCTTGACTTCAGAGGGCCTTCTCTAATAGGGGAAAAGCCTTCCATTTCCGTCAAATGACCCGGCCCCCCTGGCTCTTCCACCGTCCTGGCTCCCTTTCCTACCTATGCTATGCTCCCCCGGCACAGGCCTACCACGCTTCGCGCCTGCGGCGTTTTCGTCGGACGGTCTTTGCCAGTAGTGCCATCCTCCCCCCTGGCTGTATGGGCGAGTTGTCCCTCGCTGCTGCGTTCTGTTAGGCTATGGATTATAGGAACAAATGTAGTTGAATGAGACAACAGGCGGGTTACACGTTCCGCTGTGCCGAGATGTGAGGTGCAGGTGGAAGTGGTGATGATCACCCCGGGGTATGCGCTAGCGCCCTTGACAGGCACTCCAGGACCCGCCAACGCTCATGAAAACCCGGGTCGGTCGGTCCTCCATTCATCTGACCGGAGGTGTGGATAACGAGGCCACCTTCACAACCTTCTCCCTTCTGTCCTTATGTTGTAGTAAGGTAGGGCGGTTCGCTTGAGTTGCTCAACCGCCCCTTAGCCCGGTGCTCGTGACGCGCTACGGGACCTCCACCGTGCCGGGGGACCAAGCAGGGCATAGCTAGCGGCATAGGAGCCGACTCGGCGTCAGCGGCTTCGTGCCGCACTGGAGTGATCCAATATGTGGTTTCGCACGTTCCACCACTTCTCCGTTCATTTCCAATACTGATCGTGAAACACCATGAGCAGCAGGATGTTGAGGTCCGAAATTTGAAGTGAAATTTTTTATTTGCCCGTTCCTAGTCGTCATGGGAAAAAAGGAAGAAATAAGAAAGATATTATTCCCTAAGAGCTTGTCCAGTACTACCTGTACCAGAAATGCATCTCCTTGCGTGCGAGAGACTTCTATGCCAGCCGCCGGCTCTGTTATGAAAGAAAGCGGCAGACTCATCTTACAGGTGTTCCCTAATGAGGGATTTTAGGGGATTAGGGTTCTCCTTTATCTCCTCCACCCATCCGCGGAGGGTTTCAATATAAATCTCCGCAGATATTTTCAGATCGCGAGACATAATGTTCTCTGCGACACTGGAATAGATTTCTTCCATTTCCGGAAAGTGAACGGAAAGCCGCCCTTTCCCCTTCTCACAATATTCCCGAACTTGCTCAAGAATCAATGAATAGCACTTCGAAGTCCCTCACGTTGGGGGATCGGCGTGGGGAACTTCCACCGGTTCTGGACTGGAGCCTGCGGGTTCTGAATGACCTCCCTCTCACGGTGAAAAAAGTGGTTAACCATCTCGAATAAATCCATATCGTCCACCTGAAAAACGTGTCTCAACTACAGCCAACTAACTCCCCTGTTTCCCTATCGAAAAACCAACCCTACTAAATTTGTTCTAGAAATGCTAACCAAGTTACACACTGGGGCCATGGGTCATGAAAGAGGTTGACCCCCATCCCCCTTCACTATGTATGGCCAATGAACTCCTCGCTTTAGTCCGTTCTTTTCCTTCTTTGGGCTCGGGTCGATAGTAGCCGTGGTAGTAATGTCCCGGAGCCCGGCTACCGACCCGAGGCGCTGATCGGGAAAGTCATAAAGAGACGTTAAACGTAATTCTAGAAGGGCGTTACCACAAAAAAAAATCCGAGTCTTGGTAGTTTACTTGCTTACTTGTTAGAGTCAGGCAGTTGAAGTGAAAGTTTATTAGACTAGTCCCACTAAGATGGCGGGGAAACTAACTTCCGAGAGAGCTGCTTTCGCCTCGGTAATTACCTAACGAGAGAGAGCCGATGCCAAAGTAGCCAGCCCTTTACGCGAGGGAACGCCAGACAGACTGACCTCTGCTAACTAAGTTTTTTTATATAGACTGGAAGCTAGAGAGAGACTATACTAAGGTATAGTGCCGCTACCAGAGAAGGCTGTTTCATGCTAGGCGTCCAGACCTACTACGCCCGAGCCGCATCCCCGGCACACTTGCTATATCCACTAAGGCTTCACATCCCACTTCATCCTACCAACTATACCTTATATAAATAGCCGTTCTATAACAATTCAAGACAACAAGAAAGCAAAATATTTGATCAGACCTTTTCTTATTTTTATTTCCATTTCTTTTTCCTTCCATGGAACGGAACCTTATTTGCCTTCGCCTCAGTAGCCGCTTTTGCTTATGGTAAATAAGTATCCGCAGCTGTCTCCCCAGAGACTTATGGTGGGTTTCAATATATCTCTTTTCCACCTAGGTCAAAGGGGTATGCCGCTATGCTACACCGAAGTATGCTCCTAGGTAAGCGACTGCCTTTGGATCCGCCTCTCGAGCACGAGGGTCGTTTTCATAAAAGGCTATCGATCATGAAGGTTTGCCTATGGCTCTGTATCTACCTCTGTCTGCTGGTGCTTATTTTTTTTAGAAGCTAAGCTGCAGGATCAATGGCTTAAACTACTGCTTCTTCAACGCTTCTCCTGCGACTTGTTCTCCTTTCGTCCTTGCTCCTGCATGCACCTAAAGGTACAGTATCTAAACGCTCCTTCTGTTCTTGGGAAAGGGGGCCCAAGGCTCATCCTTATGCTTTCGGTTTTCGAGTGAAAAACTGAGGAGACCTGTCAAGCTTTAGGATAGCTCTTTTCAAAATATTTTATTGTAATAGAAGCTAAGCTTTTATACCGAATCGGGTTTGTTGATGGAATCATAGCCGGGCCAGAACTCTTGATCTATCAATAGAGGTTGAGA